AGATCAAGGATAACATCTGGCCATTCCTCACCAGATTTCATAGGGCACATGCTGATGAAGGAGGGGGATGGACAGTTAGTGGAGAACTTGGACTATTGTAGTAAGAAGTGTGAACTTCCTTTCTGAAGGCAAAGGGAAGCCACCGTGTTTGGGTGGAGAAGGGGAAGGCAAGGGTGGGGTTGGGAATTCCAGGGTCAAGGAGCTATTGCATTGGTCTACGTGAGCGATAACAAGGGGTCACATTTTACAGATACACTCAATGGTTTTCTATTAGGGTAAAGGGAGGTTTTCCAAATCTGGCGACTGGCCTTATAATGGTGTCACTAACAGGGCTGAGAAGGAAGTGGATGATGAGGTAAAGAAGATGAACTGAAATTTGAACTGCTCCATCTCCCCTGATCATCACTCAGGGCTACCCTTCACGCGCCCAACCCCCACACAGATGTTGACTTTTGGGAATTGTGTGCTGTTGCTGGCTAGGCATCAAAGAATGAGTATTCTCCTGTCACCATGGGCTCATCTTCCAGAGAAAACTTTTCACTTCTGGAGGAAGCTGATTTCTCTTTCATCTGGAAGCTTTTATCTCTAATAACATTATCTCTAGAGTTTTAACTCAAGAAAGGCCTCGGCTTGAGTCCTCAGCAGGAGCCCTGAGGAAGCAGGTTCCAGAACAAAGGAGACACTGCCCTTTCTCTGGTCTTCTTGCCCAAACAATAGCAATTTACCTTCTGGAAACTACAGTGGGCATGTCCAGTGCTGCAGGACCTGACAGGGAGATGAAGGGACTGAAAACCACATTTTTGTGTCAAGGTCCATTTGTGAGTTAAGTTCCAGGACAGGATAGGCTGCAGAGGAGCTCCAATCAATAGCTGGGGCTCCACTGGGACCTGGAGGCTGTCGGCAGGGAAGCCTCAGTGCCACAGCAGCATAGAAGGCCTGGGGCTGCAGAATTCTGCAGGACTGGGGGTTACATGTGTGATAAAGTTGGAAAGGCAAACACAACAGCAATCCAGAAGTGGATTCCAAGAACAAAAATGATTCACCAGAAATACACCAGGACACAGGCAGCTAAAGCCAACAGCGGGGTAGATCGAAAAATCAGACGTAGCCAGGCACAGTGGCTCATGCTTGTAAGTCCCAATACTTTGGGAGGCCAAGGCAGGTGGATCACTTGCGCTCAGGAGTTGGAGACCAGCCTGGGCAATATGGCAAGACCCCATCTCTACAAAACATACAACAATTAGCTAGGCGTGATGATGTGTACTCGGGAGGCTGAGGTGGGAGGATCACTTAAGCCTGGGAGGCTGAGGCTGCCATGAGTCATGATTATGCCACTGCACTGGAGCCTGGATGACAGAGTGAGACCTTTCCTCAAAAATAATAATAAAACAGAAAAACCAAACCTCAAATACTGCAAAGACACATGGACATGTGGCTTTAAGGGGTGAGGAGCAATGTCAGAAAGCGGTAGAGTCACTGGGGTTCTTAATCTGGAGAAGAGGTGATAGCTGTTATCTAAATCATAAGCTCCTGGAAGGCAGAGAATATGGATCTGATGTCTTGATTAGCAGGCAATAAATGGATATTGGCTGATTGATCACTTAAGTCCTTCAAAGGGAGATTCTCGTAACTGCTACCTCCTACCTCAGAATGGCTTTGATTTTCTCATTTCTCTCTTTTTTGCCCCTGGCAGCTGTTACTGCCTCAGCAAGCTAAGGCTGTTGCTATTTCAGCATCATTGCTAAGAAGGGCATTGAAGCATCTTTATGTCAGGCTGAGCTCACTCATCCAGATTAATTCTCTAGATGTCCAGCATAATTTCTGGTAAAGTCACCTTTTGGTCCGAACAAAAAGCAGATAACTCACTTTATCTGTGAGCTTTTTATCTTGTCAACAAACCAAAATTCTTATCCATTTCCATTTCTGTGGCAATTTAAGAAATTGCTAGCAGAAGAAATCTGGACTTTGGAAGGACACATTAAAATTGCACTTGGCTTCTCGCTATCATGTGAATGCCCTCATGTCCTGGCAGTTTCTGATTCGGTTCTGGGGGATTACAGAAACATGATTACTGTGCTCTCTAAGCCTCTCACTGGTTTTAAGGAGGTAGCTGATTTCCACTTTTATTTATAGAAACTTCTAGAATGATCTCCAAAGCTCAAGAGTTCAAGAAGATATTGAGTATCTTAGTGATTGAGAGGACATTTGGGTTCATCTAAACCAGGGGCCCCAACCCCCAGGCCATGGACCAGTACTGGTCTGCGGCCTGTAAGGAACCACAGAGGCGGTGAGTGGGGGGTGAGTGAGCATGACCACCTGAGCTCCGCCTCCTGTCAGATCAGCAGTGGCATTAGATTCTCATAGGAGTACAAACCCTATTGCAAACTGTGCATACAAAGGATCTAGGCTGTGTGCTCCTTGTGAGAACCTAATACCTGATGATCTGAGGTGGATCAGTTTCATCCGGAAACCATCACCCCCAACCAACATGTCCAAGGAAAAATTGTCCTCCACAAAAACCCATCCCTGGTGCCGAAAGGGTTGAGGACTGTTGATCTAAACCCCTTCTGTGTCAGAGTGTGGCTTGCCTAAGATTCTTTGACTAAGTGGCAGGTTGGTGCTTTGAACTGAGCAACTGAGAATCTACTATGTCAAGCCTTCTCATCGACAGAAGTACTTGCAGGATCGAGATATTTAAAATGAATACAACCAAGTGCGGTGGCTCACGCCTGTAATCCCAGCATTTTGGGAGGCCGAGGCAGGTGGATCACCTGGTGTCAGGATTTCGAGTCCAGCCTGGCCAGTGCAAAACCCCATCTCTACTAAAAATACAGAATTAGCCGGGTGTGGTGGTGCAAGCCTGTAATCCCAGTTGCTCAGGAGGCTGAGGCAGGAGAATCACTTGAACCTGGGAGGTGGAGGTTGTGGTGAGAGGAGATCATGCCATTGCTCTCCAGCCTGGGCAACAAGAGAGAAACTCTGTCTCAAAAAAAAAAAAAGAATGCAAAAAACAGTTGGGGTAAGGCCAGGCAGGGTGGCACACATCTGTAATCCCAGCACTTTGGGAGGCCGAGGCGGGCAGATCACAAGGTCAAGAGATCAAGAACATCCTGGCCACCATAATGAAACCCCATCTCTCCTAAATATGCAAAAAATGAAACCCCATCTCTCCTAAAAACACATGGTAGCGTGCACCTGTAGCCCCAGCTGCTCGGGAGGCTGACGCAGGAGAATCACTTGAACCCGGTAGGCAAAGTCTGCAGTGAACCGAGATCATGCCACTGCACTCCAGCCTGGCAATAAAGCAAGACTCCATCTCAAAAAAAGGGGGGGACATTAAAAATACAGTAAAAAAGCAATGAAAACAAAACATGTAAAAATCAGAAAAGATTTTTTTTTAATTTGTGTTTTTTGAGACAGGATCTTGCTCTGTCACCCAGGCTGGAGTGCACTGGCACAATCACAGCTCACTGCAGCCTCACCTCCTGGGCTCCAGTGATCGTCCTACCTCAGCCTCCTGAGTAGCTGGGACTTCAGGCTCATGCCAACATGTCCAGCTAATTGTTTATTTTTTCAACATGATGAGATCCCCTGTTGCCCAGGCTGGTCTTGAACTCCTGAGTTCAAGCAATCTGCCCGTGTCAGATTTTCAAAATGCTGAGATTACAGGCATGAGCCACCATGCAAGGACTGGAAAAAAGTCTTCAACAACAACAACAAAATAATGCACTTCGTATTTGCCCTCTAGACCAGGTAATCACTCTGCTAAACATGTTGATACGTTCAGAAGACAAAGCATTCTCAAACTGTCAAAACATGTTTCTCAAAAGGTTCATTCTATTCTTTCTTCTATGCAAAAATGACAAGCAGTTGTCTTTTTCTGAGCAAATAATGACAGCCCCTAGCACCCAACATTATGAAAATGCAGGTATATTAAGTTTAGCCCTTCATCTGTCTCAGTTTTTATTCCTTAGAACAAAGGAAAATTACAGGCACAGTGCTGACAATGGAGATGTGAGCTTTTTTCCCCTTTGGTTTTTTGTTACTAGGGTGTAAGTCCATGTGTGTCATAAAATTCTCTCCCATCTGGCTGGTTTTCTAAACTTCTCTGGGTCTCAGTTCTTAGAGTTGAGCAATTAATTCTCTCTAACACTTGGGAGCTGTTGAAATGAAGGAGATTTCAGAGAGAATAGCTCATGACCTTATGCCTTTGTGTGTATTACTGAGAGCTGACCTCCTGCATTACTGGGAAAGAAAAATCTATTAAAATCTCTTGGGTGAATACTTCAGCAGGCTGATTTCATTTTGAACCGAATCATTTGGTGCATTTTAGAAGGCATGATAAATGATGTCATCTCAAATATTAATATAAACCCTGGATAACATGCTTTTTACTCAGATTCAGTTTTATTACAATATTGCAAGAACTCCATTAGGCCACACCTACACCATTTGAAGTCTGGTGAAACACGCGGGTGAAGGAGCAACACTACTTGATATTGTCAAATCTCCAGAACGAGAGGGTATTAGGAATTAACCTGACAGCAACAAAACCACACACGGTTGTGGGAGAAAAACTCAAAGCATATAAAAGAACAAATAAGTAAACAGAGATACACCTCATGTCTAATGGATGGGCAAACTCAGCACGGAATAGATGTTAATGCTCCTTAAATTAATGTCTAAGTCAATACCATTTTAACCAGAATCTCAAGATTGGAATAATTAATTCTAAAATGTATAAAGAAAAGTCCACAAATAGCCAAGGGAATTCTGAGAAACAAAAGCAAATTTTGCACTAGCTCATTAGACAGTAACCCACATTAAAAAGCATACACATATGGCAAGATACTACGCTAATGGGCAGAAGAGGAAGTTCAGAAACAGAATCATGTGGCCAGGCATGGTAGCTCACGCCTCTCATCTCAGTTTTTTGGGAGGCTGAGATCAGCCTGGCCTACATGGCGAAACCCTATCTCTACTAAAAATACAAAAATTACCTGGGCATGGTGGCAGGTGTCTGTAATCCCAGCTACTCAGGAGGCTGATGCAGGAGAATCGCTTGAACCTGGGAGGTGGAGGTTGCAGTGAACCAAGATGGGGCCACTGAGCTCCAGCCTGGGGAAAAGAGTGAAACTGTGTCTCAAAAAAAAAAAAAAGAAAAAAAGAATAGCACAGTGGAAAGAGATGTTCAGGTTTGGTGTAGCAGGGACTAAATTTCCAACAAAGGAAACCATTTATATGAAAGAGAGAAATCCCTGAAACAGTAAGGACCCATTGCCAACCTCAAAGCCTATCGACTGGAAACACAACCATTCACCAGATGGCTCAGCTTGATCTCCCAGAATGCGAGACAATCCCATGAAGGAAAACAAGCTGATTTTAAAAATTAGAAATAACTCAACTAACTAGGATTTTCTTTTAGTTTGGTTTGCTTTGCTTTTTACTTTAATTACTCCATAAGGTCCAATTGCTGTAGTGTTAAGAATCCTAAATGGGTAAAGTTGGATGCCAAGTTAAATATTAAGAAGACCTGGGGAGGAGTCAGGCACAGTGGCTTATGCCTGCAATCCCAGAACTTTGGGAGGCCAAGGCAGGTGGATCATCTGAGGTCAGGAGTTCGACACCAGCCTGGCCAACATGGTGAAGCCCATCTCTACTGAAAATACAAAAATTAGCTGAGTGGGGTGGTGGGCACCTGTAATCCCAGCTACTCAGGAAGCTGAGGCAGAATTGCTTGAACCTGGGAGGTGGAGGTTGCAGGGAGCCAAGATAGTGCCAGTGCACTCCAGCCTGGGCGACAGAGCAAGACTCAGTCTTAAAAAACAACAACAACAAAAAACCCACACACAACTCTGGAAATTTCAGAATGATGAATGGAAAGAAAAGTGGGGTGGCCCAGTCTGTGGGAGTAATAGGATTGCAGGGAATTTTTCTCCTTGTTTTAAATTTTTAAGATTGCTGTTATTAAATTAAGCAATAAATAATCTCTTCTAAACGTAAACATTCCTTAGGGAAAAACAAACATGCTAACCTTTCCTCTCCATCACGCTCTGGGGAAGCTTCGCTGGTTCCTTAAGGAGACTATAATCAAACCACTTTTTTTCTTGCTCATCATCAGGTTTACGGGCAAAAGAGGACAAGAAAAATAATGACAGCCATAATTAGTGGGTAGATGGAAACAGAGTCCTAGGGTTGGAAGGAATCTTGGAAATATGTTTTGCCCATCCCCTCAGCTCTCGGGCCACACCTAAACTTTTAAAGCCCTCAGGAATTCACTGTGCTGAAGACCGCCAAGGACAATGCCTAATCTGTCTTAGAAACTCATTCTAGTGTCTAAGAATACTTACTGTCAGGAAATTCAGCTTCGTGAGTAAATTCAGCTTCGTGAGTAAATTCGGGCTCCACTCCCACCCATTTCCTCTGGCTCTGATTTCGGGTGGAGATGGACCGCAGCTGGACACACATTCGAGCACACCCAGCAAACACACGTGAAGGTTGTTACCAAAATAGCCCCTTCCCATCCCCACCTCAGCTTTCTCTGCTCTGAGTTAAATGATCCCAGCCCCTGTCTGGGTTAAATGATCCCAGAAATCTCTCTTGATCAGTTTCATTCTCTGAATTCAGACCTACCGGTGCCTAATCTTTGACCAACAGTCCAATAAGGGGTACATCACCACTACCTCTAGGGCGACACACTGTCCCAGCTTGCCAGAAGTTGCCCAGGTTGTGGGACTTTTAGTGCTAAAACCGGGAAGGGCCCAGGCAAACTGCGGTGCATTGGCCTAGCTGGCTCTCTCTGGCGGAAAAAAAATGCAGCCACCAGAGGAATGATCCTCAGTGCTAAACTGGAATGTTTTAATTAATGAAGGATGTGTCATGAATGTGGAGACAGAGAGAACCATCTGAAAGGCTGCTATGGTTTGAAGGCCCCTCCAAAACTCATGTTGAGATACAAGTGCCCTTGGACCACCAGGCAGAAGTCTTTAGAGAGGTGATTAGCGCCTCTGCCCTCACGAGTGGATTAATGCCATTATTGAGTTATCGCCTGTGTTGATTCCTGATTAAAAGAATGAGTTTGGCTGGGTGTAGTGGCTCACACCTGTAATCCCAGTTCTTTGTTAGGCTGAGGCAGCAGGATCACTTGAGGTCAGGGGTTCAAGACCAGCTTGGCCAACATGGTGAAACCCCACCTCTACTAAAAATACAAAACTTAGCCAGGTGTGGTGGCAGGCATCTGTAAGCCCAGCTACTTGGGAGGCTGAGGCAGGAGAATTGCTCAAACCTGGGAAGTAGAGGTTGTAGTGGGCCGAGATCGTGCCACTGCACTCCAGTCAGCCTGGGCAAGAGAATGAGACTCCATCTCAAAAAAAAAAGAATGAGTTTGGCCCAATTTGATCTCTATGTCTTGGATGCTCACTTACTGTTCTGCCATCTGATGATGCAGCAAGAAGGTCCTTGCCAGATGCCAGCACCATGCTCTTGGACTCCCCAGCCTCCAGAAGTATGAAATAAGTTTCATTTCTTTATAAATTACCCAATCTCTAGTATTTTGTTTTAGTAGCAGAAAACAGACTAGGAAAGGGCCATGTTTGTTTTCCCGTCTCAGCATAAACCCCTGTCTGGAGGGAACAAACTGTGTCTGCTCCACTGCACACAGCATGTACCTGTCCCCCACCACTGTCACCTGGGTGCACGGGCACACCTGAAGATGCAACACCTATGGCCTAAAAAAAAAAAGAATCACGTGCAAAGCCAGAAACAAATATAAAGTATGTGAGAGGGAAGAGAAAGAGGGCATGGAAAGAGGGGAAATGCCACAAACACGAGAAAATAGCCTGGAGCAAAAGCAAGAGAGAGAATACAGTTAGAAGCACACCCAATGAGAGGGAGAAATTGGTGAAGGAATAAAAAGCATGAAAAGGAAGAACCTGAGAGGCCCGAAGAAAAGTCTGTGGTGGTAAGAGAAGTAGAAGATACACCTGCAACCCTCATGCCCTTGGACCACCAGGCAGAATCACTGAGCCACTGTCCCACCCATCGCTCTTTGTATTTTCTCACACCCTTTAGAACGGTTCCTGGACCCTTGGATTTCATGGACCAGGAAGAAAAAATTAAAGACTAACTTAAAGCTGCAAAGAACATGAAACTTACAATATCTTCCACTATGATCATTACTTCCAAAAGCAAAGGACATTGTACATCCTCAGAAGAAAGAGTACACATCTGTAATTCCAGCTTCCCAAGATAGAAGACTGTCGCTGGCCACCGAATGCCACCCTGCCCACATGCCATTCTCCTCACTTCTCCCCTTTTGCCAATGAATGCTGAAAACTTTGTTACAGACTGGTGCCAGCTTTTACCCTAGCATTTGCAAGGTACCGTTTTAGAGAACCTGAGAGTTGAGCCATGCAGTTCTGTAGAAAAATGCTGGAAAGCTAAGATTTGTCAAGTGCTGACCACACAACCTGCCCCGTGCACAGTCATTATCTCATGAAATCACCTCAATAACCCAATTCTAATTAGTCCTCCTATTTCAAATAAGGAAACTGAGACTCAGAGATGTTGAGAATCATGTCTATAGTCAAGTGGTAGAAGAAGGTTTTAATCCAAGTCGCTTGACTTCAGGGCCAACTTATTTTTATTTTTTACTTTTTCGAAACAAAGTCTCGCTCTGTCACCCAGGCTGGAGTGCAGTGGCAAGATCTCAGCTCCAATTTCAAGCAATTCTCGTGCCTCAGCCTCCCGAGTAGCTGGAATTACAGATGTGTACCACCACCCCTAACTAATTTTTGTATTTTTTGCAGAGATAGGGTTTTGACACACTGCCCGGGCTGGTCTTGAACTCCTGGGCTCAAGCAATCCCCCTGCCTCGGCCTCCCGGAGTGCTGGGATTCCAGGTGTACGCACCTCGCCCGGCCCTCTACATCAGTTTTGGGTATGGCTCCTACTGAAAAAAATGTAAGCATCTGGCTAAGACAGTCTTTCCTGGATCAGAAATGCTTAAGAGAGTTAACCCCCGTGATGGCTGTGTCTCGTCTGGCCTAATCCCCAGCTGGGTTCACGGCTGGGTCTGATACCTCTGTCCTGGCGTGGTATCAGCTCCCACTTTATATCCAGGGTGGAGGCATGCCCTCTCAAGCTGCTATTCCTATCTGTGTTTGTTCAGAGGTTTCCTTCCTGCCTCTCTTTTCAAGTTAAGATCTTCCCTTTTTAGCAACTTTTGCCTTGATGTCTAATTCCAACTGCATCTTAAAATCAGAACCACAGAGAGACATAATCAGGTGGAAGCTGATTTCTTATTTTTCTTTATTGGAGACGCAGTTCCCATAGGACAAATCTGTGGGAAACAGCTGATGCCTCTTAAATCATTCACAGAGGATTAAGGGACTGGCAAAAGAGACATTGGGCTTTCCTCCTATTGAAACCAAGGTCTTCTGAGTGTATTAATATTGTATCTGTTCACCACTTGCTAATTCTGTTTTACTAGCAGTCTAATAGCGAGGGAAGCTTCCACTTATCACTCTTTTATAAGCTTGAGGGACATAGAGTCTGTATTAGTTTAATGTGCTGTTATGTAGATGTGAACATCAGAATCATGGATTCAGGACGTTCCCCCAGCATTACTCCAGACAGATGAGAAGCCATCCTTTCAAAATCCTCCAGAGAAGAATTTTCCACAATCAACTATTTTAGCTCATCCCACTGTTTAATCATCCTTATTGCCAAGAGATTTTCTTCCTTTAATGCAATCCCTTTTGCTGTAGTTTAAATCCATTTCTTACAGGCACCATTAGTGAAGCTGAAGACACCGTCGTGCATGTTAGTTTTTAATGCAGACCTCTGCAGAAGAAAATTCTTTACTCTTTTGTCACTTTTCAACCCTTAGAAACGAACTTTTCAGCCGGGCACAGTGGCTCACACCTGTAATCCCAGCACTTAGGGAGACTGAGGTGGAAGGATCACTTGAGCCCAGAAGTTGGAGACCAAACTGGGCAACATGACAAAACCCCATCTCTACAAAAAATGCAAAAATTAGACAGGCATGGTGGTGCATGCCTGCAGTCCCAGCTACTGGCTGAGGTGGCAAGATCACTTGAGCCTGGGATATCAAGGCTGCAGTGAGCCATGATTGTGCCACGGCACTCCAGCCTGGGCACAGAGCAAGTCCTGGTCACGCATATGGTGAAACTTCCCATCCATTGTCTGGAAGCTCTTGCTTGCCATCAGGAAGTGTATCAATGAAAAAAGAGTTTTCAAAGATGTAACTCAATGATTCTCAAACTTGAGTGTGAACCGGAACCACCCAAAAGGCTTGTTGAAACCCAGATCTACAGGCTCCACCCATAGAGTATCTGATTCAGTAGGTCAGGGGTGGGGCCTGAGGATATGGTTTTCTAATTAGTACCCAGGTGACCACTGTGGCTGGTGGCCCACAGACCACACTTTGAGAACCACTGGGTTAATTCATGCATGCTTAGGGCAGCATTAATTAGCCTATGGAATGAGCACCTACTGTATTAGAATCAGGTGGGAAAGCTTTTAAAATGACATATTTTTATAGGCTTAGGAATCTGGAATTACAAGAAACATTGCAGGAAAATCCTCTTACTAAAATTTGAGAACTTGACTATGACCATGGTTTTGATACTTGAAAGGGATTTGGATAGGCCAGCAGTTCTCAAAGTGTGGTGCCTGAATTACAGTCAGCATCACCTGGGAACTTGTTAGAAATGCAAATGCATCTTTTCTGAAAGATTTTATGCAAAAAAAGAGAAAACAACAAATGCAATCCACATTTTCACAAGCCCTCTCAGTATTCTGAGGCACACTGACGTCGGGAACCACTGGCACAGACGAAGCTAAAAGCAAGTGCCAGCCCCTCATTATTTCCCCTGCATCTGCCTCTTCCTAGTTTTGTTTTGTTGTTTTGTATTTTTCACTAGGGAACATGTTATTTTATCCTTTGTCATTTCCTAAACTTTAAGGAGTTGCTATGTTAGTTGGGGAAGACGGCTTCCCCACAGAAAGTTTCCTGAGTTTGAAGGAAACTTACCTGATAATTAAAAAAAAAATTTTTTTTTCTAACTGTGGTAAAATACATGTAACATAAAAGCTACCATTTTAACCATGTTAAATATACAGTGATGTGGCACTAAGTACATTCATTTCCTACAACTATCCCCACTATGCATCATCTTCCCAAACTGAAACTGTGTATCCATTCAGCAGTAACTCCCCATTCAGTTCTGTATGCCCACATGCTGTGCAACCCATCTCCAGAAGCTCATCATCTTGCAAACCTGCAACTCTGTATCCAGTAAACAAGTCCCCTTTCCCTCTCCATCCAGCCCCTGGCAACACCCATTCTGCTTTCTATCTCTATATGTTACACATTAACTACTTTGGATACCTCATAGAAGTGGAATCATGCAGTATTTGTCCTTTTATTTCACTTAGCATAATATCTCTAAGTTCATGTATGTTATAGCATATGGGAGATTATCCTTTTTTTGTAAAAATTTTAATTGTATTTGTATATTTTAGAATTCCCTTCTTTTTAAAGGCTGAATCACATTCTACTGTATGTCTTCTATTTATCTTTATCCATTCACATTTCCTTTATCCATTCATCCATCCCTGACATTGGGTTGTTTCTACTTTTTGGCTACCGTGAATAATGCTGTTGTGAACATGCATGTACAAATACCTGAGGCTTCTTCCCAGTTTTCCTGGCGAGTCCACTGAGGTTCCTTAGACACTGCCCCATCTCTTCCCTGAGACAAATATGGGGAAGATAAGAAATTGATTAATAATCTGTCAAAGTTTAGAATTAAGTCGCTGCTAGGCACATTGGCCCACGCCTGTAATCCCAGCACTTGGCGAGGCTGAGGCTAGAGGATAGTGCATGCTTATCATCCCAGCTACTCAGGAGGCTGAGGCGGGAGGACCTTCAGGAGTTTGAGGCTGCAGCGAGCCATGATGGTGCCACTGCACTCCAGCCTGGGTGACAGAGCAAGGCCCTGTCTCTAAAAAAATAAAGAACATTTTAAAAATGAGAATTAAGTTACTATTTCAGGTGTGGATTCTGGGTGCTAGTTGAATGGTAAGCTTTTCTATCACCCCCAACTCTTTCTCCTGAAAACTCCTTCCTCAAAGTATATTCCGCAGGAGAGGGAACATTCGGTCTCATACAGTGCCAGGATCCTAGTCCCTGGGACTCTGGCCAGCCAAGAGAAAAGCCTGGTCTATACATGGAATGACTGGACCATAATTGGAGCCCAGGATCCCTCAGTGAAGATCCATCTCTCCCGCCTTGTCCCGTCTCCAGAACTGAACTCCACCTCAGCTCTTGCTGCTTACCCTGCCTGCAGCCCCAGAGGTTCTCTCCACGTGGGGCTCTTGCTGACGTCCAAGGCCCAGCCTTTCACAGTCATTCCTTACCCCTTACCTGGTCCTGCTGCCTTGCTTTTCCTGATCCTGATGGCCAGCTGGGAGGGTTTTGCCATGTAGACAGCTCCTGGGGGCCACTCTGGACTTCAGTCCGTATCCCCCACCTCCATCCTCCAATAGCAGTGGCATTGCTGCCTCGCCCGGTCTTTGGCCGCTGGGAGCAGCGCTCAGAGTGAGCACTGCAAGACCCCAGCCTGCGCCACTCTGCTGTGCATCGTGTCTGGAGCTCAGGTTGTGCAGGATGTGGGGAAAAGGACAGAACACATACTCACTGGTTGATCAGCAGCTTTGTGGCCTCCATGCCGGCAAGCCACAGTTGTCTAGGCAGGCCTGCGGGGCAGCAGAGAAAGCCGTAAGATGGAAAGTCTTCTAGACTCAGAAGGTGCTGGGCTGGGGCCAGATGTGTCAAGAGATGCAGAAGATGTTTAATATTACCCTAGATTCCCACCTGTCCTGGGAACCCACAAATGGGACTGATGATGGATGTTTATTTTCCAAAGGACCCTTTCCTCATTTATCTTGCATTTGTCGTTTCAATTCTTTGAGGGAGAATTACAAACCCTACTGGATAATGAAAAACAATTCCTGGCAAGTGAAACTTACCATTCTAGAAATGAGTAGCTATCCCCTTCACCCTCATGTAACTGTCTAGCTGTTTTGGTCCAGTCGCAAAAGCTTGAATTTGAGCTCTAAGTTGAGGATGCTGAGGTCTCCTTGCACATTGAAGACTGTGCAGGTCAACAAGACAGGCTCCCATCAGCCTTTTGGGCTCCTGTCATCGTAGGAGGAGGAATCCGGAAGACAGTGTTAGGTGCTGGGATCTCAAAGTCAGTGGAATGTGGAGAGTTGAGAATCAAAACATTTGCCAGAATTCTTGATACTCTAGAGAATTTGCTGTATGAATATGCTATACTAGTATGCCATTTCTAAAAGTGTGTTTAGTATTTTCATCTTCTTTTTTTTCTTTTTTTTTTAACAGAGTCTCTCTGTGTCGCCCAGGCTGGAGTGCAGTGGCACGGTCTCAGCTCACTGCAACCTCCCTGGTTCATGCGATTCTCCTGCCTCAGGCTTCTGAGTAGCTGGGACTACAGGCCCCCACCACTATGCCTGGCTAATTTTTTTGTATTTTTAGTAGAGACGGGGTTTTGCCATGTTAGCCAGGATGGTTTTGATCTTCTGATCTTGTGATTTGCCCACCTTGGCCTTCCAAAGTGCTGGAATTACAGGCGTGAGCCACCATGCCGGGTCTATTTTCATCATTGTAATATTTATTGAGAGTGATGCATTTATAGCACTGTACTGAAACTCTTTATATAACTGACACCTCTGGCTTATATCTTTCATCGGCCATGCGAACTTCAATTTACATACTGCGTGAAAGCAGTGAAATTTGTGACTTTCAAATACCATTCTTTAGTTGTCAGCAGGACAATAAAGTATTCAGAATTAGTTTGATAGGCAGTGCTTACTGGGTATATTATTGCCTTTTGCTTCTCTATTGCTACATATAACATATCAAAGAAAATTATATTTTTGGAACCCATTTTCACACACACACACACACACACACACACACACGGAGCCTGGAAGAGAGAAAAGAGATGGAGCTATTTTAGGAGCCATATTTTCAAAGAATAGCAACTCTCTAAGTGACAAGACAGCACGTCGAACCAACTTTATAATTAAAGGATGGTGTAGGTTGTAGAAAGGGATGATATAGGTTTGGAATGATGAATAAGACAGTCCTTACTCTTAATAAGCTTGCGTTCTAGTGGAGCGTGGGAGACCAACATATCAAAATAGTAGTGACCACATGTCCCCAGTCCAAATTTGGGATATGTGGTCTCAAAAGAACGGGTGCACTTTCTGGGGACAACCGGACCACCTGTTTGAAATGTTAGCAGATTTAGGACATGTAGTTGCTGTACTTAGAACAGAAGACAGAGTAAGAAAAGCTGTTCAGGAGGCATGTGTAATTGCTATGCAGCCTCGGGGAGGAAGGGCTCACAGCATCACACACTCCTTCGGGCTCCCAAGACGCAGCTAGTTCAGCGCCTACTGCTGACGGTCTACCCTTTGCCAGGTACTAAACTAACGGTTGCCGCGCCATGCTCCAGGCCAGCTACACACTTTCCCTTAAACCAGTCACATGTGTGTGTGAGCCGGCCGTCCGGGCTTGGGTCTTTAAGAAACTTCCCTCTTTGGGTTCATACTTGTGTGTGCAAGGAGGCTGTCGGGGTGAAGAGGCTCAACACTTGAGGGTGGCGGGGGCACACCCCCAATTCAACTTCAGAAATACAGAGTTAAAGCGATTCTTTTTATTTATTTATTTTTTATTTATTTTTTTGAGATGGAGTCTTGCTCTGTGTTACCCAGGCTGGAGTACAGTGACGCCATCTTGGCTCACTGCAACCTCCTCCTCCCAGGTTCAAGAGATTCTCTTGCCTCAGCCTCCTGAGTAGCTGGGATTACAGATGAGCACCACCCTGACCAGCTAATTTTTTTGTATTTTAGTAGAGACAGGGTTTCACCATGTTGGCCAGGCTGACCTTGAACATCTGAGCTTGTGATCCACCAGCCTCAGCCTCCCAAAGTGTTGGAATTACAGGTGTGAGCCACAGCACCGGCCAAAGCAATTCTTTTGAGTAATGTTGCATATCTATGAAACTAAAAAAAACAAAAAACAAAAAACAAAGGACTAGAAAAAGAAAAGAAAAATCCATTTGGTATGAAGAGGACTGGATATTCCTGGATATTTGTATATTGCTGGTGGTACTAACAATAGATGTATTTTCTTCTTATTTTTTGAGACAGAGTCTCACTCTGCTGCCCAGACTGGAGTGTGCTGGTACACTCGGCTCACTGCAACCTCCCACCATTGGGTTCAAGCAATTCTCCTGCCTCAGTCTCCTGAGTAGCTGGGATTACAGCATATGTCACCACGCCCGGCTAATTTTGTATTTTTAGTAGAGACAGGGTTTATCCATGTTGGCCAGGATGGTCTTGAACTCTTGATCTCAGGTGATCTACCCACCTCAGCCTCCAAAGTGCTGGGATAACAGGCAAGAATCACTGTGCCCAGCTTGTGTATTCTTATAGAAAAGGAATCTGGCACTATGTGAGAAGGCATCAAACCCTTTAGACCCTTTGATCCAACAGTTTAACTTGGGAAAATGTACCTCAAAATGAAAACATAAAACATTGATTTTTTTTTCTATGAAAAAATCAATTGTAGCACTGTAAAATGAACAATGGGAAACAACCAATACTCCACAATGGAAAAACATTCATTAATAAAATCTTTTTAGCCCCTAGATATTGTGAGAGTATACCAGTAAATGAGAATGTATAGACGAAATAGTTAGTGAAGAAAAGAAGAACATGAAATTATGTGTACATACTGAGTACAACTTTGTAAGCTGATGGATATACCAGTATATATCCAAAGAGACTTTTGAGGCAAGGAATCGCTGTTTGGTGTTTATGAGTTTTTTGTGTAAGTTGCTGGCATTGATTTTTTTAAAGAAGGAAGAGTGAGTACTGCAGGGATGTTAGTTGAACTATGAGTTTTGAATCTCACTGAATTTTTTGTTAGTTTATGTTATTGAGACACATGTTGCAAGTAATTTATGACTAAGAGTGAAAATACCATTCTTTGGTTTATTATAATATTTAATAAACTAGAGGTGATTCGATGTTATCTCTACAGTGAAGTCATTACTATACACTTGCATTTTGAGGTTCTTTCTTTCTTTCTTTCTTCTTTCTTTCTTTCTTTCTTTCTTCTTCTTTCTTTCTTTCTTTCTTTCTGAGATGGAGTCTTGCTATGTTGCCCAGCCTGAAGTGCAATGGAGTGATCTCAGATCACTGCAACCTCCACCTCCCAGGTTCAAGCAATTCTCCTGCCTCAGCCTCCTGAGTAACTGAGGTGCCTGCCATCACACCTGGCTAATTTTTGTATTTTAAGTAGAGATGGGGTTTTACCAGGTTGGCCAGGCTGGTCTTGAACTCCTGACCTCAGGTGATCCACCCGCTTCAGCCTCCCAAAGCACTGGGATTACAAGCATGAGCCTAGCTGAGATGCTTTCTTTAGTGGAGGCAGAATGGACAGAGCCACTTGCCACTTTCTAGTTATTACTGGCTCCTGGTCCTGCAAGTGTGAATGTCAGCTGTCATTCACAGAAGAGAAACTGGAACTGACGAACTGTCGTGATGTGTATGACAGTCTTGTTCCCTAATCATTTATACCATGCCACCTGATCTCTTTAGTCTCAGGAATAATTACATTTCCTCTTTCCTTCTCATATGAAAGCCTGCCCATTGGTGTAGGCAGGAGAGAAGGTCCTTCCTACTCTCCCTTGCCAACATGAAGGCTTCTCAGCCAAGATCCCCAAAGGAGCCTGCCCAGTGTTCGCTGCAGCTTCCCGGTCTCGAGGACCTCCTCGTTAGGACATCCAGTAAATGCTTGCCTTGAGCTCTCTGCAGCCTTGAATGCTGGGACCACTTGTCTCCTTGAATTTTTCCTTGGGATTATGCCCGACTCTAGCACATAGGAGAAGCCTGTGTAGAAGATCAGGCAAATGAGGGCTTCCCCTCCGTGGAAGGCTGGCACTTCCGCACTCCCTCGGGGCTGCCCTGATCCCACACAGAGAACAGAGAGAGAGGGAGGCAGGGTTCAACCCCCTCGCCATGGGGCTGCTTCCCTGCCAGTCTACCTGGCATCCCGACTCCATAAGGTGGCCCCAGGGCAGGGGACTTCTGACACCAGAGAGACCCGACAGCAAGAAGCCTGCAGAAGCAGCCAAACTCAGCCATGCACTCTCTCCCACCTCCTGCCACCTCCTCCCACCACGAGGACAAGATTGAGAGGGGGGCCTAGGAGCCACTCCTCTGCACACCTAAACTGCAGCCAGGCCATGCGGAAGGAAGAGAAGACATTTCCCCTGGAATCGCCTAGCTTCTGTCAGCTGTGTGACATGGATGGAAATACAACCCACTTGCCTTCCTAGCAAAACTCCCACCCCTGCAGAGTCAGCTGCAGGAACGGAGGCAGCGAGGATGGTGACGCGGGATGGAGGGGCGGCCTCCCCCACTCCATGGAGGGCCTCAGGAGCCAGTGGGGAGCAGATCTTTAGGCTGTAAAGGAGAAAGCAGCCAACCCGAGCCAGGTCGGGCACCCTGAGTGGTGGTTCTGTCCTGCAGTCAAGGAGGGCCCCTGACTTCCCTGGTTTGTGTGATAACCTGGCTATAAACAGGCCAGCCCCGACTGCTGTGGACAGAGGTCCAGGGAGGGCCTGGCTGACCTGTGGCTGGTGGTGGCAGAGATGCCACTGACCCACAGATTCCCCTGTCACAGCCCCTGGAGGGGAGGCCACTCCCGTTCCTGTGTGCGGCTCTCTCCGAAGGCTTATCTCTGTTTGCAATGGGGAGAGACTCCTTTCCGGGGTTCCCATCTTAATCCTTTGCCTGCAGGAATGCGCTGGTCTGCTTTTTCCACGAAGCCCGGGTCTCCGTGGCTTTAGAGTTGGACGTTCTGGTGGTGGTCTCCAGGAGTGCCCAGGACAGGATACCAAGAAGGGGAGGTGGAGGGGGCGTGTGTGCCGGCACTGGTGGGGGTGGAGTTCAGGACACAGCCGGACCCGATCCTGTAGCCGGGGCAGAAATGTGAGCCCTGGCAGCAGCAGGCCCGGTGGGTCTTGAGGGGAACAACACCTGAGACCCTCACAGGCCACTCATTGGCTCCTTGGAACTGAAGAAAGAGTAAGAAATTCGCTTCTCCCACGCGTGTGTGTGCACGGACAGCAGCCTCAAAGGAGTGGCTTTCCTGCTCCCCTTCACCGGCTGATGGGAGCTTTTCCAGCAGCTGGAGCGGGGGAGGCGGCTGCAGGTGGGCCCTGTGTGCAGGCTGCCGGGACGGCAGGGAAGGGACTGGGCTCCCTGCACGAAGGCAGCAGCTGCCCCTGTGACACTGACAGGTGAAAAAGCCTGGAGAATCCCCAGGTCCCCGGGCAGAGCCTGACTTGGGCAATTAGCCCATCCCCCACACAGCCTGTTTCCACCTCCTCATTTTCTGTCTTTCACTGCCTGTGACTTCTCTCCCCCGCATTCATGGCCTTATTCCACCTTTCGAGGTCCTCTCCCGTTCTTCTTTTTCTGCTCCATGCCCCTTTGCTCTTTCTCCCTCCTCCTCTTCTCTGATGCCCTCAGCTCCTGGTTCTAACTAAATCGAATGTGCTGCTTGCAGCCTAATGATAGCCAGCCCCCAGGATTTGACAGAACACAAAACAGAAACAAACACCAGCCCACCCAATCCCAAGTCCCACCATCACCGCCCCACAGCTGCGCTCACGGGCTACCATGGCGGCGAACAGCTGCCTGTGATCTGCCGTCGTTCTCTCTTTTCCAAATGACATCTTCCAATATCAAAGACACTGCCAGCTGTCAAAATAAGGCTTCATATTTTCATATATAGGACAATTACTGCTGAAAACAGATTATGCAAACATACAAACAAGTGAAGTGGTGGAGGAAGGGGAGGCTGGTGGGCTTCCTCCAAATTCATCCTTTTAACAGAAGCAGGGACTGAAATGACCTCCAGGTCCTCAGAATAGCAACTGACAAGCACATCCTCCCAGTCATAAAGCTTGCATCAAAGGAAAATAGAAAATGGGATAAGAGTTTGATCTCTGGAGGAGAAAGACGGGAGGATGGAAAGTGCTTGAGACAAAGAGAAGGCAAAGCCTGGGAGTTAGTTATTCGTTCTGTACCCGCTTCCCCCCCAACATAACGATGCGTAATGAGCATGGAAGACAGCACAGTGAATTTCTAACAAAGAAAATGAGGCAGCAAAGACAGGGCAACCCAGGGAAACTGGAGGAGTAAGTAGGGTGACCTTCTGCATGCCTTAGCATCGTCCTCCCTTCCTTGAGAAATACCATGAACGTACACATCTCCCTGCTAAAATTACAAACAGCTGTTACCATCAAACTAAAGGCTGGGAACAGGACTGGAAGTTAGGGAATGAAGGTTCTCAGACTTGCCTTCAATCCTGAACAGATAACTGAAATGTTCTGTCTCTGTTTCCCCAGTTATGAGGTGAGAATCTCAAAAGTAGACCCCAGGATTGTGTTGAGGATCAAAAGACATCATGGTTGGGAAACAGCATGTGTCCCTCAAGGAGCCCTCCATGGGGGCGAGTGGTACTGTGTGAAAATGCCAACCCATTGGCAGCTTGCTGAAGTGACTGGGTTTATTTTTAAATGTCATTGAATTTCCTATCACATAATGATAGTCTGCAGTGTGTGTTCACCGCGCCTGCCCCACCCACAGCTTCTACGATGAAGCCATCCAGCCCACAGTCAGCAACAAGGTCAAAATCAGATCAAGATGGAGAAAGTGCTCAGCTGCCCAGCTCTAATGGGCGGTCCTCCCCACCCGCCAGCAATGAAGGCCTTGCAGCTTTGGTCTTTTGGGCCCAACTGTAGCTATTAAGAGCTGGCGTCTCCAAAGCGGTGGTGACCCAGATGCACGGAGAGGCAAAATCATGGCTCTTTAAGCCAAGAGGCCCCAGCGTGGGAATTGATGGGCAGCCGCTGAGGGTTCTGCAGGAAGTGTATCATCCTAAAAATCCCAGCCTAATAAAAAGGGACATGTCACTCTCAAACTAAGGTTGCAGGGAGCTTTGGTTCTGCATTAACCCTAAGGGGTTTTTTTTTGAGATGGAGTTTTGCTCTTGTTACCCAGGCTGTAGTGCAGTGGCACAATCTCAGTTCACTGCAACCTCTGCCTCCCAGGTTCAAGCTATTTTTCTGCCTCAGCCTCCCAAGTAGCTGAGATTACATGCGTGTGCCACCACGCTCAGCTAATTTTTGTATTTTTAGTAGAGACGAGGTTTCATCATGTTGGCCAGGCTGGTCTCAAACTCCTGACCCTCAGGTAATCCACCCGCCTTAGCCTCCCAAAGTGCTGAGATTACAGGTGTGAATCACCATTCCCAGCCTAATCCTGAGATCTTGTAACACAGCTGGAAAGCCAGGTGGCTCTACCTGTGACAAGGCCACCAGCAGACATGTGGCAGAACCCTCCCAGCAGACAAACTCTGGAAGTCAGATTCAGCAACCACAGAACTCACTTCAGTGCAAAGAAGTGAGGTCACATGGAGATCCCCAAATTCTCTCACTACCCAGAGGTGGTCAGTGTAATAATGATGGTTCCACATCGTGAGGCTAGGAGAGTATCTGCAGGGTTCAGGTCAGACTGGGGACGAGTTACCACAAATAATGCTGCCCCTGCCACTGCTGAAATGTGTGGGTCCAGGACTCAAGTCGGGGAGGAGGCTGTCTTTCTGCTCATGCAGAAATTCTATTTTTGTTCCACCGTCATATAGAATCTATATCAGTGGTGGTTGCATTAACCATTCATTACATGGATTGCAGAATGCAGGGAACGTTCTAGAAAGGCTCTCAACATAACCACCCCTGGTTATGAAAGAGACTCTGTGGTGAGCAAGTGCATTCTGAAGTGGCCCTACCCTATTGTTTCTGAGGCAGTAACTGGTTGTGGCTTTGGGTGAAGTGGAAGACGTTGGGGCTTTGTGTTTTGATAGCTGGAGGTATTAGGTGGGTGCATATTTGAAACCATATCCTGGAAGGTGGGTTCATGGAGCCTCTTTGATCTATGCCTTTGCTAAGTGAAGTGAGCTGTCCCACTTTCAGCCGTGTGTATCACACAAGACACACCCTCCCCCAGCCGATTAG